CAAACCAATACAATTAATTTAAAGTCAATGGCATATATTAAAAGCTATATATGCTATTTTAATTAAAATTTTTTCAGAATATAGAATTTTTAGTCTGATAGCAGAACTTGGTGTCAAATATTTAGATAAATTGAAAAAGTTGTTGATTTTGATGCTATATTTCATGTATTAGAACTGATTTGAATGGCTGTAAGAATTGCTTTAACAGAACATTTAAAAAATACAAATAAAACTATAAGTGATATTGAAAAAAATGATATTATAAAAGTTTGGTTCTTGTATTTTCATTAATAGGTTATATAATTAATTATAAAATAGAAATAAGAAGAGCTCATCATAATTTACATTTTATTCATTTTCAATATTTGCATTACTTTTTTTAGTTTGTAGTAAAAGCAATTATGAAAAATTAACAACTCATTTTTTATCTTAAGTTTATAAAGATTTTCAATTACAACAATTACTTCATCAAGCATGTTCAATTACTTCATTAAGCATGTTCAATAAACCTAACATATTCTAACCATTATTATGCATTTGATAAAGCATTGGAAGTCTTAGAAGTAAAATTTGTTAAACAAAACATCAAACCAAATATAATAGATAAAGAACAACTTAAGTTATACATATCATCTGTTTAATCTAAAAAAAATAAAATACAAATACTTTTATTTAAATATATAAAAGATATAATTACAATTAATAAAGATCATAATATACAGTCTTACAAAGAAGTAGTATGGAAACTTGCTAATAAATTAATTAATGCATTTTAACTATCTGACCCAGAAACTTATGAACTTTTTAAAGATTCAAAAGAAATAAATAAAGTTGGGTTTTTTTTTTATTGTAACATGTTTTACAAAAGGTATAAAAAAAATTAAATACAATCTATAATCAAGAAATTTTAAAAACTGAAAAAAAAAAAAGTCAAAGACCAAAAAAGTTAATAACAAGAAAAAAAAATTTTTAATAATAATAATGATAATAGTAATAAAACTATTAATGATAAAATAATCTTATCTCTTACCAAACATGTACATAGAAAAACAAACAACAATGCAAAAGAAATTCTTTTCCAGTTGCTTACTTATTCTAGTTTTTCTGATAATAATCAATTACTATATAATATTCTTCATAAACTTCAAGATGTAAAATCAGCTTGGACTAAGGAACATGTTGTAATATATAGACAGAACTACCATAATAAAAATAAGTAAAATAAATAGCTAGTATATAAAACTGCACTATATGTACTACAAAATGTAAATATAAATTATATTTAGTAGTAATACTAAAGTTTGTAACTTAACTTTAAAAATTAACTATCTATACCTTATGAGATTAAGAAAATTAAATAAACAATTTTAATGAACCAAATAGTGATTTTTCATGCAGTACTACTGTAAAGATTACAATAAATATATTTTGCTTTGTGAATTTTAATTAAATTCTCTAAAATATTGATTAATAGCAATAGTTTATCTTCTTAAATAAGTTTTTCAAAATTTGATATTAGACAATTATGAAGATTTTCTTTATTAATATATTAAAACACTATTATATATTCTATTGTCTGTGTATTCAAGTTAGTTCATAT